GGTCTATCTTCATCACTTACATCATCACTCATCATGGGTTGGGAGGGTTCAGTGGGCTCATAAATGGACTGATAGCGGCTGCCATCGGCGCCCTTAGTATGCTGATGTCCGAGCCCACTGCAGAAAGCTATGTAAAGAGGACATGTATGTTTGTCCTCTCAATCACGACATTTACATTTACATTTACATGAGAACCCAATATACATAAATCTAGCAGGCCAAGATCTTTGAGGATTTTACAAAGATCTTTAAGATTCCAACAAAGACCTTCAAGATACATGCAAAGAACTTCCAGGATCCTTGACGATCTTTGCAAGAACCTTGAGGACCTTGGCAAGAATTTTAAAGATCTTTGAGGATTGTTAATAAAGATCCTTCAAGATCTGCACTAGGATCTTCATGCAGATCTACAAGGATCTTCAAAGATCCTTGAAAGATTTTCACCAGGGTAGGCCCTGCATGGTAGCTATATTTAACAATTATTCCTTGAGCCCAAATGGGTTCTGAGTCAATTCTGCCGAATGGGCTATTGACTCATGACCTCTCAATCGACAAAGATAACATTTGCTCTGTCAAAATGAAGAAAACTCCATAGCATACTCCACCCATTTTTCTAATGTGCCAGTTTTAAATGATCAAGTGCTCTTTTGATGTTGAGCTCGGATGGATCAGCGTGACAAAATGCAATATTGTTTGATGCGCTTTTGTTATAGAGCCAATTTCCTGTTGTTAAACAAGATTAGTTTCAGCCCTTTCTGAAGAAGAAAGCAGAAGACTCATCTAAAATTTTGAGATCAATTTCCATCAGAAAGTCTTTTGAGGGTTTCTTTCAACTGCAATTTAATCTTATTGTGAAGTGGAGCCGGTTAGCTTGCTCAGTTCTACATGTATTTCATTCCCACATGAACACACTGACTTTCCCTTGGGAGAGACCAGAGATTTACATCAACATTTGATTGCCATTTTATCGCTTCTCAGCCAATTAGAAACTTCCGTATGCCTGGCTGCGGACTATTCAAAATACCTCAAACATTGTGGCAGGGGGGATTTAAAATTGACTTTTACCTACTCTTCTCGCTGCTCCACTGCCAAAACAATACAGCCCTCCCATGTTAATCCCGCATGCAGGCTATATATGCCAACTCTTCCAGATTATCCGGGAGTCTCCCGGATACAACATCTGTTGTGTATAACCATATATGGTATGCCCATATTTGGGCATGACCATGTGCTTAATATCAGTTGTTGTACAAGCTGCCATCTTCATTATGTATTAAATTAGTTGTGTTCATCAAAACGTGTGTTAAATTGCCTCCAACACTACATATTAGTGACAAGGATGGCAGTCACCTTGAGTGTGTTGCTTCCTTCAATTGTGTTGGTGAGCTAGCCACACTGAAGCAAAGAAGAAGGTCAGTACCCACCTGTACACTCTGCCAGCTGAAAAATGAGCGCCGTGGAAAGAAGAAATTCACAGTTTGAGTGAGACGCATTAGCGGTTTAAGTGGGGTTTTACCTGTACCTTTACATTGTATGGGATACACTTTGAGATCTGCAGTGATCACAAGCTGCTTGTCACTGTTCTTAGTCCACAGTCAGGGCCCATATTTTGGCATGACCATGAGCTCAATATCACTTGTTGTAGAAGCTGCCATCTTGATTATGTATAAAATTAGTTGCGTTCATCAAAACATGTGTTAAATTGCCTCCGACACTACATTTTGGTGACAAGGATGGGATAGATTTTGAGATCTGCACTGATCACAAGCTGCTTGTCACTGTTTTTGGTCCACAGTCAAGGCCACCCTCGTCTAGAATAGAGAGCTGGTTGTTAAATGTACATGCAGCAATTCAAGTATACCATTAGGCACATCCATGGCAAAGAAAATGCTGCTGATGCACAANAGCCCTCCCATGTTAATCCCGCATGCAGGCTATATATGCCAACTCTTCCAGATTATCCGGGAGTCTCCCGGATACAACATCTGTTGTGTATAACCATATATGGTATGCCCATATTTGGGCATGACCATGTGCTTAATATCAGTTGTTGTACAAGCTGCCATCTTCATTATGTATTAAATTAGTTGTGTTCATCAAAACGTGTGTTAAATTGCCTCCAACACTACATATTAGTGACAAGGATGGCAGTCACCTTGAGTGTGTTGCTTCCTTCAATTGTGTTGGTGAGCTAGCCACACTGAAGCAAAGAAGAAGGTCAGTACCCACCTGTACACTCTGTCAGCTGAAAAATGAGCGCCGTGGAAAGAAGAAATTCACAGTTTGAGTGAGACGCATTAGCGGTTTAAGTGGGGTTTTACCTGTACCTTTACATTGTATGGGATACACTTTGAGATCTGCAGTGATCACAAGCTGCTTGTCACTGTTCTTAGTCCACAGTCAGGGCCCATATTTTGGCATGACCATGAGCTCAATATCACTTGTAGTAGAAGCTGCCATCTTGATTATGTATAAAATTAGTTGTGTTCATCAAAACATGTGTTAAATTGCCTCCGACACTACATTTTGGTGACAAGGATGGGATAGATTTTGAGATCTGCACTGATCACAAGCTGCTTGTCACTGTTTTTGGTCCACAGTCAAGGCCACCCTCGTCTAGAATAGAGAGCTGGTTGTTAAATGTACATGCAGCAATTCAAGTATACCATTAGGCACATCCATGGCAAAGAAAATGCTGCTGATGCACAAAGCAGACTGCCAGTAGGTGAAGTAGCTAAAGAGTTTGTCAGGCAGACAGAAGATACGCCTTCACCGTAGTTACTGATGCTATACCTGCTACTTTATTACCCCACCAAGTCAAGAGAGAGTCTGAATTGGACCCAACCTTGCAATTTATTATCAGTTTATGAAGCCCTAACTACTGGTGATTTGGTCCCCGCTTCAAGGAACCAACTATAAAGCTGTTGAAGATGAACTATGGGTGATGGGACAGCTCATTATGAGAGGAAACCGAATTGTCATGCCAGAGAAACTGTGTAGTCAAACCATTATGCTGGCCCATGAGGAGCATAAAGGTGTAGTGCGGATGAAGTCTTGACTGACGGAGAAGGCATGGTGGCCAGAGGTAGACAAGCAAGTAGAGAAGCTGATTCGTAGCCGCTATCGGGCCTAGACCTACACCAGAACCAATAAGATCAAGACCATTGCCTCACTGTCCCTGGTGTGAGATTACAGTGATTTACTTGAAGTTCTGAGGAAGGGACACTTACTTGTTGTAGTTGATTATTACTTCAAATGGCCTGAGGTAGCTTTCCTCACCATGGACTCATGTCCTCTCAGAAACCCTTTGAAGCAACAATGGACCACCATTTGCTTCACAAGCGTTTGAAGGATTCCATGAGTAACTAGCTATTGACCTCAAGAAAGGCATCCCTTATTGGCCTCAAAGTGATGGTGAAGTAGAAAGGCTAAACAAGACACTCTTAAAGGCCATCAGAATAGCAGAGTTGGAAGGAAAAGAATGGAATCAAGAGTAGCAGGACCAATACTGCAACACTCCTCACACAGTAACCTCACTCTCTCCAGCTGAGTTGCTTATGGGAAGGAAGCTGAGAGATAAGCTCCTTCGAGTGAGACCCCCCTTACTGATCATGCATGCAAAGCCAGGTGCAAGTACTACTGCAGGAAAGGTACGCACGCAGAAAGCTAAGAGAGAAAGAATATGCAGATTAAAAGAGGCATACATTTACAAGTGACATAGGAGAGGGAGACATGGTCCTGTTACGTCAAAATTGAGAAAACAAGCTGTCATCGACGTTTGTGCCAGAGGCCATACCAAGTGGTTGAGAAGAATGGCAATGCAGTGATCATAAAATATGAAACTGGCCAAAGCAAAATGCGGAACATTGGTCATATGAAGAAGTTTATGGAACCAAGTGGCAGTGGGACAAAGAGGAAAATGAAGCATTTGAGGCATCAATAATGGCCTTCTATGACAAGCACCCTCCAACTGAGGTAGTCACTGATGCGAGCCCAATCA